TTTTCGTCGCGCTGTGATGACGTCCCATACGCGCTTTCTTCGTCCGGGATTTTATTGTCCGCGGTTTTGTGGTAGAACCTTGAATTTTCCCCTTTGTAAAAGGACACACTTTTCTCTTTGTAAAGAAAAAGAAAGGACAAACCATACCCTTACATATAGTCACCATACTCGTACATTGTCACTATAGTCATACATTGTGCATGCATTTGCAATTCAGTGCTTGTGCTGTGAGAAGAAATGATGATATATCAGGGTATCCACTAAAAATATTTAATGAACCCTGATAGTGACTAGTCCTTGCTAGTTTTTTTGGCCTGCTGGTGGCCAGTGGAGTTGGCAGAGGAGTTGGACAGTGTGGAGGTTGGGAAGGAACATGAACCAGTCTTGGGGGCTGAGGAAAGCTCAGATGAGGGCTCTGCATCAGAGGCAGAGAGGGAGCTAGACAGCAGTGAGGCAGAAGAACAGCTGGAGCCTGTTCCCAATGTGTGCATAAGCAGAGCTGCCAGAAGACAAGAACTACTAAGAAGGTAGGGTCAACTTAAGAGTAAAGCCACAACTTGGAGGTGATTATCCCCTCCTCAGAGGAAACAAAAGAGGAACAAATGGGGAGTGGGATTTTCCAGGAAACAATTCATTCATTCGGTCTGGAAAGTTCTGTTTGGGATTATAAGAGAGCAAAAGTTTTGCTTTGCCCTGTGTTTGGAAACTAGTTATCTGGCAGTGCTCTAAATGAGATAAGGTTCGTGTTGATAAACATTCCTCTGAAAGACTGTATGCTAAAGCCTTGCTGACTGTGAATGAAAGAGATTCACAGTCATGTAAATAAAAGAGGTTTTGTCGGGACCGAGACTTTGCTTCTTGCTTTCTAAGGAAACCTGGGTCAGAACACTGGCTTCCAAACTGAAAAAAATCGAGTGAAGATTACAATTGCCAATTCATTTGGGCACCAAGAACTGCAATGCTCCAGCATGGTCAGTAAATAATTTGGAAACATTACCTCTTCAGGTCCCACATTCTGACCACGTTTCCTGCAGCTGCATATAGAAAAGTGCCTGTTGGATTTAAGGCAATCTGATTGATCTGGTTCTCACCAGCTGGAATTGTAACAGTTCTATTGGTATTTCCAGAGCAAGCATCCCCTGGCATTGTCTGGCCTGAAGATCTTCATTTTATAAGGGAAAAGAACAAAACAAGACAAGATTGGATTAGATTTTTTTTTTTAAGAAAAGAATGAGTTCTAATGTTATCTGTCCATTGCTGAACACAATAAAACGATGGGTAGATGCACATTGTTTCAAAATGGAAAGCTTACAATTTATTTATTTAATTAACACATTTATGTAGCTGCCTATGTCACTAAAAGTGACTTTGGAAAGTATACAAGCAATAATGAAAGCAATATCACAACTACCCCAAAAGTGTTCTGTGTGAGATTTGGGTGCATTCTCCCATGATCTTATTTTATATTTTATATTAATTGTTTAAGAATTATTTAAGATTTGTTTTATTGCATGCCACCTAGTGCACCAATGAGAGAGCAGCTATATACATTTGATTAAAAAATATGAAAAATAAAATATATTTATCACACATCTTGCTAACGTTGAGTGTTCTAATCGGGCACTGAGGCCCAATTTAATGTGAATTGATTCTCTTTTCCCTTTGAGATAAGGTAAAGGTAAAGGTTCCCCTTGCACATATGTGCTAGTTGTTCCTGACTCTAGGAGGTGGTGCTCATCTCTGTTTCAAAGCCGAAGAGCCAGCACTGTCCAAAGACATCTCCATGGTCATGTGACTGGCATGACTAAATGCTGAAGGCACATGGAATGCTGTTACCTTCCCAACAAAGGTGGTTCCTATTTTTCTACTTGCATTTTTACATGCTTTCGAACTGCTAGGTTNACACACACACACACACACACACACGAAATGGATTGCTATATAAATTTGAAGAATGAATGAATGAGAGAATCTATCTGAAGATTTTTCAATGCAAATAGGGAATTCCTACTTTTCATTCATAAATGTTCTCAGAAAATGTCAGCTTGGCCAGCCTTTCAACTGTAAAAGACAGATTAATAATACATTCCACTCCACTGAATTCCATAAACTGGTGTTTAAATAGCTTCATACAGGACTGAAGTGTCTCTCCAAAACTTGTAAGGAGAGAAACAAGAGAAAGTTCATTCCTGAAGTTTACTTTCATATGATTGTTGTTAAAAAATGCATGAGAGATTACCTTTATATAATGGTCCTTGGAGCCAGTAATGATGAGGTCTTGTCCATTAGAAATGCGATCTACTGTGAGACACATAACTGGGCCCAAGTGACCAGTTAGTTTTCCTGTAGACTGAAATCTAGAAGAATAGCAAAAGATAATACTGCAGAGACTTAAAGTAGCTTAATTATTTCAAAATCAAACAAATTACCTGAACTAATTCTTTTTCAAACTATACTATTAGGCCGGTGTAAATCATCGAACAAGTATAACATCATCTGGATCGACAGTATTTGTTGAAGATGAGTACACTTCTCATGACCTGCTTTGAAAAATTCCTGGCCTTCCCCTGAGTATCTGCAGGCACCAAATATATTTCCACAAGAATAGCTGGTAAAGCATTTAATATGTTTACTTGGAGGTAACTGTACAGTTGGTAGACTTGGCCCACCTCAGCAGATACTTTTTGGGTATCACTATGAAGGAATGGTGGTTTTGAGAAAAAATCAAGCATTTTAATTCATATATACAGTGTCTACACAAACTCTATTTTAAAGGACTGTCCTTTACTTCAGAAAGTTGTTTCTTAGATTTATTTTTGAAAAATCCACTTCTGTACTTTATTCATGTGAAAAAAATGGAAAAGGAATTTGTCTTTCTAAAATAAATTTAAATATCCTGTTTTTTACATAATTTTATCAGACTATGCATCTTTCTTGGCTTTGAATTTTCGTGACCCGTCAAAAGCGCGTTCCACGAAATCGCGTATGTGACGTCATCACAACGCGACGAAAATGATCGAAAAATTGAAATAAAAATTAAAT